TGTTCTACCATCCATTTACACACACTTTCCTCTGTCCCTCTTTCCCTCAATCTGTCCTGTGAGTATCAGATTTTCCAAGTCCTCCTTCTTAATTATGTGTCCCTGAAATTTCAACTGCCTCTTCTTGATGTTAAGTATAAGTTTCCTTTCTGTTTCCATTCTCTAAAAAACCTCATTGTTTCTCACATTTTTGGCCCTTGGTATCCTCAGCATCCTTTCATAGAACCACATTTCTGTTGCTTGGAGTCTCTTCTTCATCTTTAGGGAGATTGTCCAGCACTTGCTACCATATGGGAGGACAGATATCATGTAAAAGTTCAGTACTCTTTTCTTTGTTTTTGTTGCTTCAAGTCTCTTTGGGAAGATTGTCCAGTATTCACTGCCCTATAGGAGGACAGATATCACATAACACTTCAGTACTCTTTTCTTTGTTTCTAAGGAGATTTTCCTATCTCTTAGTACTTTGCTTAGCTTTCGGAATGCTTCTTTGGCTATCCCAATATGTCTTCTGATCTCAATGTCGCACTTTTCATCCTCTGTTTGAACACTTCCTAGATATTTAAATTTCTGTACCTACTTGATTTTAGTATCCCTAACCTGTAATTTGCATTTTGAAATCATCCTTTTACTGATGACTATGTATTCTGTCTTCTTGTAGTTTATGCTTAGTCCTTTCTTCTTGCTTTCCTTCGCTACCTTAAGTTGGCTAAATTTCTCATATGAAGCATTGTCAGTTACCTCTTCACTAGTTATTCAAATACTAATTTCTATCAAAAATATTATTAACACCACTAATTCTTTTCCTGATTCCCACCCATTGTTGGTTTCATAAAAAATCCCAGATGTGTGACATTATAAGAGAAAACAGCTTGGTCCTATAAATATTCCCATGGTAATTGTTCTGATGAGCTTTCCTATTTTGTTTAGTTTCTTGTATTCATTGTTAATATTTATTGGGGTTTCATTTGTAAATGTTGTTATTTCCCACCCTGCAGACAAATTGTCATATAGGGACTAGTTAGAGACTTTAAGGTATTATGGTGGCTGTAGTAAGAATGGCAAGTATAAAGGAATTTTTTATTTGGTTAAAAAAACTCTACAAAGAAAATAGTTCAAACAAATGTCTGAGGTAGCATTTAATTTATATGGAAGCACAACAAAAACAGACAACACAATCCAAATTAAAGAACAAACAATAAATTTATTGTTAACACACAAAATGGTGAATGAATTATGCAAATTAAATGCTTTGTGTGCCGAATGATGTCCAATAACATGTATGTAAAAATAATCAATGCAAATGAAAAATGTTTCTTTTACAATAAAAATCACTTTGCTGCTTAAGATCTCCAGAAAAGAAAATTACATATAAAATGTAGAAAACGAGAAAATACTCTGAAATAGTTTTCAAAGAATTGTACAATTTTCAAGGCAAAGTTTATGGTAACAGTGAAAAATAGAACAATCGCAGCAGCCGAAGACTTTTCCTTGATGTGGGAGCAACTTTGATATTTGTTTCAATTGTAATTTGGTGGTTGTCAAATTTCTTCTGTATTGCTTTTCTTTCAGGACTGGAGTAACCTGGGTTCCAGCAGCAGATGTTTGTTGACTCCTTGAATTAACTCCTGGGTCTCTTTTTATTAACTACAGGGAGGCTTGAAATTCACCTCTTGGAATTTGGAGGGAAACCTTTTGATTGGTTCCAAATGAAAAACAAATGTTACTGTTTCCCCACAAATTGAAATGTACCAAAAATATTTTTGAAATTCAAAAATTAAACAAGAACCCAATGCAGTGTCTGCTTTCTCTCAAAAAAGCAGACAATACACGCTCTAGCAGCTTAAACTTCTTATAAGTAAGAATGTGTTGTTCTGTTATAAGGAATACTGTGGTATGTTTGGATCAGTAATTGTGCCTCACTATATGAGACAGATTTCAATTTACCAGTCTTCCCCTATCCCCTGCACCTTTTTGACCTTGAGCCACATTTTTGTATTTTTCAAAATAAATATTACTTTCCTTTATGGTACCTTGGCTTTACAAATTTAAATGCAGTACAAGATTGGCAGCTAGGTCTCATCATTTTACATCTGAAATAGCAAGTTGTAAGTTCTATGTTAACAGTATCTTCTATCACACTTCTGGCTTGTGGAACTCTCCTTCAGCTTCTTGCATTCCAGTCAACATTGATCTTCAAATGTTTAAATGCAATATAAATTGTCATCTTCTGTCTCCATGCATTATGTTCTTTTATAGTCCTCTCTCACTCTTTCACTCTCAGTAACTGTTTGAGTCTTAGTGACTTTATCACCTTGTTTGGGGTGAAATGATTTTATTAAAAAATAAGAAATAACCTTTTATATGTTTTTGCTCTTGTCTTTCATTCTCCTTGATGGTAATGCACTTTGCAGCTACTATATAAATTGCCTCAATTGATTTTATATTCAATCAGCTTGTCAGGTTTTTCCTTGGGGCAATACCTTAATCTGATCACACTTTGTGGTTTGTGCCGAGTCTTGTTTTTAAAAACACCAATGCATAATACACACACATACAAAAAAGCACAAACATATAAGCACGGACACATACACAAATGCACCCACATACATAGAAACACATACTTATAAATATAACCTTACACAATCACATACAAAATTATTATGTAGAAAGATCTCAATAAGTATTTCAATTATTTACGCATGCATACACATAAATAATATATATATATATATATATATATATATATATATCTTGTTTATATGTTATTTTTATAGATACAAAATATTTAAGTAAATGCTCTCTTTATAATAAACAGTATTAATAACATTTACTGGCCTGAATGTCCAAGAAATTTCATAGAAAATATGTGTCCTCTGAATTTGTAGTTCAAAATGAGTAATATAACCTTGCTAACCAGATGCTTCTCCTATAGCTAAATGGTATAGCACATCAGGCTATATGACGTTACCGTGTAGGATACAGGTTTGATTCCTGTTGGTGGATACATATTTTCTTTGATATTCCATGGACATTCAGGGCGGTAAATGTTGTTTATACTTTTTATTATAAACAGAGCATTTACTTAAATATTTTGTATCTCTAAAAATAACATATAAACAAAAAATATATTAAAATAATTGTCAAACTTAGTTCATTTTCATAATATACTATGTCATTTGTTTACCTTAAGATACACTTCGAGTACATATATATTCCTTTTAAATTAAATTTTAAATATATATATTTTTCAAATTTTGAAATACTTTTGGGAAATATATAAACGCACGATGGAAACTATACAGAGTTTAATTTATTTTAATTATGCCTTATTCAATCATTTTAGGACATTCAATTTACTTTCATCTTTATTTTTTATCAGTGAATTTTGAGTGACATTCATCATTCCATATCCTCATCAGCCTGTAACAAGTTCTTGATACACTCTTGATAATGTGTTACCAAGGAAACCATGGCAGTCTGACTTAAATGCTTGCCATGCTCTCAATTCATTTAAGGTAAGAATCTCTTCAAAAACCTTATCCTTCAGCAGTTCTTGGATCTGAGGTCCAATGAAGATGCCCTCCTTGAGCTTAGTAGAACTGAGAGATGGGAATAGAGAGCACAAGTGTTGGAAGGCAGCACCATTTTTTTCCAGTGCCTTCAAGAAATTCTTCAATAGACCAAGTTTGGTGAAGAGAAATAAGAAGCACCTTGTTCATGTCCACCAAAGGATTATCTTTGTTGACACTGTTTTCACCAGGCATGAAAGTGTCTCCTAGACCACTGATTCATAACTGCTCTAATATGCCACGTGATCCTCTTAAAATATTGTCACAGCATACATATATGTGTGTGTGTGTGTGTGTGTGTGTGTGTGTGCAAAGAGCAATGATACAATGTTAGTATTTGAATAAATGAATCAGTATTAAAATTTTTTTCAAATAATTCTTTTCACCATTCTTCAATTATGCTATTTTAAATACTTTGTTTTAAACTTCATTAAGAGTAAACAAGGGTTTACTTATTACACATTTGACCAAACATTAAAGAAATCCAAAAAAAATCACCATGCACAGGTTTCACACTAAATAAGCTGCACAAATAATTGAATAGAAATATTGAAGTTCATATTTGTGTGTAATTTTTTAAATCTATGGTTTTATTTCATAACATCTAAATGTATACCCTTGAAAAATGTTACTAAGTGTGACGTGATATTTTCATTTGCTCCTAGGTGTGCCATTGCTTAAAAAGGTTGAGAAACACTGTCCTATAATCTCAGTTCTTCAGCTTGTAACTTGGACACAGCCTGACCCACAGAGAGAGAGAGAGAGAGAGAAAGTAACAGTACTTTGTGAAGCTCACTTACATACCTATAAGGAGTTCAATGACCTTGAGGTTCCAACAGAGACTCCTCTGGTACTGTTTGTACTTGGTACATTCCAAAAGGAGTTCCATATTTTCATACTACTCCTTTAGGTGGACTGAGTGGGACAAAAAGAATGCTGGGGTATTTATTTCCATTGTGCAGAAGCAGAGCCTTCAAACATTGTTTGGACAAATCTATGAAAAGATGTCAATCTAAGGAATTGTGTGGGAAGCCAAGGAAGATGAACAAGCCAAAGACATTTGTGGAGTAACATAACCTGTTTTGCATGTCAAAGAATGAAGCAAAGTCCTTGTTCGATGTTCAGAATTGCTGCTTAGGTACAAATCTTGAGCCAGGTCATTCAGGTCTTTCTGGGTGATCCAATGGAGGTCACTGCAACTTAATCCTGAATAAACAGTGACATTGTCTTCAGAAGAGACCAAATTTTTATTTGAATCAATTCTTCATATGACAAAGGAATAAGATCTTTATGTGGTGGGAGTGTAGAGATAAGGAGTGGGGAACAGGTATCATAGCTGAGGGAAGGTTGGGATATTTTATTTTATTTTTTTAACAAGCATTGAAACCAGTTTTATTTGTTGACAAAAATAACAATCACCTGCATAACTTCATGGCGCTCTCTCCAGACCCCATCAGCACAGCACTGCTGAAGGGCTGCTTTCTTGCCATGAAACCATCCAGTTAGTCCATTGTAACAGGGTTTACAACAGACATGTGGGGTCCAGGATTTGTCCTGATATCCAGTTTTACTGTCTAAATAATGAAATAAGCAGTTCTCAGGAGGGAAGTAATTGTTTAGTGCTGTGCAACTGTCATGAATTCCCCCCCTCACACACACACGTAACAGAATGAATTTGACTTGTTGATTCATGCTCAATGTTTTCAAATGCCTGATGCCATTGTAGACATATGTATTAACTCACAAAAATCTGGAAAACAAAATGAACATTGATCATATATATGCTTATGTCCATGTGTAACGGGCATTCAAATTTGAAGAGGCTTTCATTTTGGCACAAAGAAACTTAGCCTACAGAGCCAAATATAGGGGGCAATTACATAAGTTGTTTTTTAAAAAAGACACAATGTCCTAATTAGGACACATCTGGAAGACTTAAATGTAGGTACAAGTATACATGTAGGTACAAGTATATATGTATATCTCAAATACTAGAGGTGATGAGTGAAAATAAATTTTGAATCTGAAAACAGTATCCCCAAAAGAGGTTAGAACAACTATTTTATGCTTGCCTCAATTACTTTTATAAACCAGTGTTATTAATTTTAACTGTTATTTACTTTCAGCATTGTCAGCCATTATTATTAATTATTGACTAGTATTTACTTTCATCTTTATTTTTATTAGATAAAGCATTGTCAGACATTATTATTAATTTTTGACGAGTATTTACTTTCATCTTCATTTTTTATTATATGAAGCATTGTCAGCCATTATCATTAAATTTTGACTAGGATTTACTTTTATAGAATATAAAATCCTATATTTTACAACAAATAGATGAAACACAAATAAGTAAGAAATGCCCACACATAAGTAGGATCAGAATCACTAAAACAAAAACTTTCGTACAAATCTGTAAAACAAATAGAATCCAAAATTAAATAAGTGGTTTCTAGAATTTGATTGGTCAGTACAGTCACATGCTATGCTTCTGACTATGTCTATATGTTTGAACTCCAAATGACCTGGTCACTGGGTACTATCCTGTGTAAACCAAAAAACTTTCATTTGGAGCTAATCATATGATCAGGATAACTATATATACACCGATTTCAGAGACAATAAAAAGACACACAGCAAAAACCCAATCAGCAACTAGATGTGGATCATCTGTTGATGACATGCGGTTGGATCTGTAAACACACAACCAGAATTCTCTTGTTACCATGACAACACCTCAGTCAACAACAACTACAAACCATTCAAAGGAATATTCACACAACTCAAGGAAATATTTATAGCCATGAAAAAAGTCTGATCATCTATCTGTATGTCCATTTCTTTTTGGAACCACCATAATCAGATTTCATATATTAGCACTCACATACACATACATTTCTACACACACACACACACACACACACACACACACACACACACACACACACACACACACACATTCAGTCAGCAGCTATGTTTACACTCGATTAAAATGTGCTTCAGACATACGCATATATATATATACACACTTTATATTGACCAAGGCATATAGCTTTACGAACTACCCTTTAACAAATGGAAAACTTTGTCTAACATTTCAACTTTTGAACTTTGATTTTTTACGACCAGAACAAACACAATGTTTACAATGTAAAAACAAATGTTAATGTGTATATAAATAAAATAATTATTTCAATCTGGTTCTTATTTTTGACTATGTTTTAAAAAATCATTTCTTCACGTTATATTGTATTTTGGGGCATGACATTTGGATTTATTTTTTTACTTTTAATCCGGGTAAACTGATACTACACTTTCATCTTCATAGTTTACTACATCCACACTGGCCTCATTTCTATTGTATTTCAAAAATAAGGTGAATGTTCCACTCAGCTTTTTCCATAAAACTGCTACTTTGTGGAACAGTTTTCCATGTGACTGTTTCCTTGGACACGACAATTTTAACCTTTTTAATTGCGAGTTTTCATCTTGCTTCAGAGTCTTCCCTCCCTACCACCTACACTTTCATTTATATCACACACCTCATTCATCATTTTAATACTAAATCTCTACCTTGAGTGGCTCTCAAGTGTTTTATTAGGTCTATTTTATCTATTATAGGTCAGCACATAAGGTGATACTTTGTTTATACTGATATCTTTCATATTGATTTACATTTATAAACAGATGATGAAGTATTTTTAAGGATATAAGCCATCTTGAGAGATGTCATGCTTTACCTTAGATAAATCTCTGATTACACATATATCTAATCTTTATCTCCAAACAGTTACAAGAATAATTCAAGAGATAAACTGTTAAGAACTTGTTTATTTGGTGAGCAATGGATTAAATTTCTGTTGGGCATGAAGAACTAAATGTAGCGCTAAACTAAGTAAAAGACAGATTGAAATGGTTCTCATCTTATACAGGATTTTTTAATTAGTCATGGGGGATCTTTCCCGGTATTTGGTTTTACTTATAAAAATTAAAATAAAATCATGTTTTAATTAGCAAAAATAAAAAATGGTTCTAATTATAAAAATCAAAATAAAATCCAGTTTTAATTAGCAAAAATAAAAAATGGTTCTAATTATAAAAATCAAAGTAAAATCCAGTTTTAATTAGCAAAAATAAAAAATGGTTCTAATTATAAAAATTAAAATAAAATCGTGTTTTAATTAGCAAAAATAAAAAATGGTTCTAATTATAAAAATTAAAATAAAATCCAATTTTAATTACAAAAAATAAAAAATGGTTGTAATTAAAAAAATTAAAATAAAAATCTGTCCTTAATTATAGGTTTGTAAAAAAAAAAGTAGATTACCATAATTCCCCATGTATAATACGCCTTCATCCATAATACACACACCTAAAATTGTGCTAAAAGTGTGGGAAAATGCTTCTACTGATGCATAATACGCACCCCTTATTTGGTAATCAAACCTTATAAATTGTACGGCTCCAATTTCATTACAGCCAATATTTCCTATTCTCATTTTTAAAAAATAGTTTTAAACATAGAATAATATTATTCTAATTTAGTTTTATGATAATTCTTATTTTATTTTACAGCATTTTTTTAAAGATATTTTGTAGCTGTGCATAATATGCACCCCAGATTTTACTCATTATTTTTTAGAAATAAATGCATATTATACATGGGAAATTAAGTTATTTGTTCTTTTATAAACAACTTTGCACAAGAATTAATACTGGACTTACTTAAACAGTTATTTAATTTTAATGCTTGTGTCTACTAGAAAGACATTTCAATGTCAACTAGGATGACATGTCATTGATAAAACATTTTGTTAAGAGATTTAATGATAAAAAAAATGCAAAGGGAGAAGTGGATTCATGCCTTTCTCAAGAATATGAAGATAGAATCAACATAAACATTTCCAGCAGGATTATTTACATGCAGACTATTGTCCTCGTCTTTGTTATTATCATAAAGTTCCGGCTGCTACGCCCTTTGGTCTTCATCAGGTGCTTGTCAATATGAGTAGCCTTCAGGGGATTTCAAACTGAAGAAGGCCATACATACTTGGACTCTATGGAAACAGGGAAGAAATAACTGAAGAAGAATTAGATGAGATATCCCTAGGCATGGACTGTGGAATAAGAAGAATTTACCCACGTAGATTAAATAAAGGGTTCAGTTTGATTACCTGGATCAATAGATAATTGAAGATGACCTGAGGGCATAATGGCCAAAATGTTGTTATAAAAACAACAAAAATGAGGACAATAGTATGAATGTAAATAGTGTAAATAATGATAATTCTTCATCCCAGAAATTAATTCCCTGTTGGTTACTCAGCTCGATATACACCTGACGAAGGGCAGACAACATAACAGCCAAAACATTGTTATAACAACAACAAAGACGGGGGGGACAATAGTCCACATTTAAATATAATGTAAATAATGATAATTCCTCATCCCAGAAATTCAAACAGAACATCTTACACTGGAATTCAAATTTGCTTCTAGACAATTTAAGTTTTTAAAAATAAATCCTTGCTTTTTTCAGCTCTTTCATTTCTTTTATATTGTTTCAGTAAAGAAAAAACTATTCAATATGAATTTTGTTTTGTTGCTTTGAGATTTTTCTGAATTCTTGTAAATCCTTTTATTTATTTTTCACATGATCTAGTTACTGCTGTGAGGAACAATTTAATGAAATGACTTGTGAAATTTGGAAAGCTTATTTGCACTTTAACCTCAATTATTTATTGATCACAGAGGAATCACTAAACTTTTTTTTTGCTTCATCTGGTTGATTAGTGTCACTGTCTGCTGCATTCTCTCAGTTTTCAGCCTCATTATCTTTTCTTCTTCATCTTTCTATTCATCACATTCTTCTCATCTACTTTTTCATTTTTCTCCTTTCAATTTTTTCTTCAATTTTTTCCTTCAATTTTTTCTTTCAGTTTTTCCTTCAAATTTTTTCTTTCTTTTTTCATTCAAATTTTTCCTTCAAGTTTTTTCCTTCAATTTTTACTTTAAATTTTTTCCTTCAATTTTTCTTTCAGTTTTTTCATTCAAAGTTTTCTTTTCATGTTTTCCTTCAAATTTTTTCCTTCAAGTTTTTTCCTTCAATTTTTACTTTAAATTTTTTCCTTCAATTTTTCTTTCAGTTTGTTCATTCAAAGTTTTCCTTTCATTTTTTCCTTCAAATTTTTCCTTCAATTTTTTCTTCAATTTCTCCATCAATTTTCTTTTCAGTTTTTTGCTTGTTCTTTTTTTATTCTTTTCTTGATATTTTTCTGTTTTCTACTATATTTTTTTCTTAAATATTCCTTCCTTCTCATCACTTTTTCCCTTCATCTTTCTATTCCGTCTTTTTCACTTATTCTCATATTTGTTTGTTTTTCATTCTTTATTTTGTATCCAAAACCAAATTATATTTTCACCTGCTGCTTCAATGCATAAGATATCCAAATGTTCTCAACCTGACCAAGAAGCCTCTACCTTCAATTAATATCATTATTATTATTATAGGATTTTACTTTGGAGGTAAATCTTCTGGTAAATATAGGATTTTATTTAAGAGCACTAAGAATCTGCAGCCCTCAATACTTACCCAAAAAAGAAATATACATAGAAAACACTTTCAAAAACCTCTAATCCTCATTATTTCATCCACAATGCTAAGAGAAAAGCATACAAAATATACAACCATGAAAAATAATCATTATTAACAACAATAACATTGACAATGAATTAGATAAAAACAGGCATATAATATTACCTTCTTTTATGTGCCATGTTCCTTCAGGTGGTAGGTGATCATGGCCATCCATATCTTTCTGTCCCTTGAAGCTCTTAATAAGTTTTGTCTTTTCGTTATTTCTCCCAAACCTTGTTCTACCATCTATTTACTCAATCTTATCAAGTATGCTACACATTGCTTTCCTGTCCCTCTTTTCCTCTATCTGTCCTGTGAGTATCAAATTTTCCAAGCCCTCCTTCGCCATTAAGTGCCCCAGGAAATTTCAACTGCTTCTTCCTAATAAGCATAAGTTTCCTTTTCGTTTCCATTTTCTTTAAAACCTTGCCGTTACTAACATGTTCAGTCCATGGTATTTCTGTAAAACCACATTTCTGTTGCTTCAAGTTTCTTCTTCATCTTTGAGGAAATTGTCCAGCATTTGCTGCCATACAGGAGGACAGATATCAATACCTTTTTTTTCGTTTCTAAGGAATTTTTTCTTTCTCTTAATACTGTTTAACATTTGGAATGCATCTTTGACCATTCCAATACATCTTCGGATCCCAGTGTTGCACTTTTCATCCTCTGTTAGAACACTTCCCAGATATTTAAATTTCTGTACCTGCTTGATTTTAGTATTCCCAACCTGTAATTTGCATGTTGGGCTCATCCTTTTGCTGATGACCATGAATTCTGTTATGCTACTTACCAATTTCTTAACATCTACTATCCAAAACAATTTATCCAATCTTAACAATATCAAAATAATTACAACCTCATCCAAAACTATTATGGATTGGATCTGAACCAAAAATACCCATAACAATAATTCTGAAGCAGGTATATATAAAATAAACTGTTACAACTGCTCTGCACAATACATAGGGGAAACTTGCAGAAATTTTAAAAAAATGTATCCATGAACACAAAACATACATAATTTATCAGATGCATCAGTTAAACTTAGAAATAAATTCAACCACAACTTGGATCTCAAAAATGCCACACTTATTAAAAGAGAAAATAACTTAAACAAACAGAGAGTTCTTGAGCATGCCGCTATTAAGTCTTGCCAAAAAAATATTAACCTTCACCTCAGATTTTTTTCAAATATCTCTCACAAGCCAACATACATGATCATCAAAATTTTAAAACGTTAAAAGATAAAAGTTAAACCAAAACCTTTTATTATTTGAATTAAATAAATACATAATTTATCAAATTAAAATGAAATAATAAATAATAATTACACTATTATTAAAAAATAATTAAATATATATAAAAAATAAGAAAATAAAAATCCCACAATAGATAATAACTATGTATCAGGCTACAGATTTATTGATCCACCATTACAAGTCATAAAAATTTACAAAACATTTTGACCTAATGTCTTGTACACATGAAAATCAGTCAACAACAATGAGTAAAATGGCTTCTCTTTAAATATGCCCTTCCCCATATGACCAATGATTTAACCTCTTATGTCTTTCTCATGTTAAAGGTCACTCATGAAAGTATCGTGAAATATTCATCTGCACTCATTACTTTTATATGAGCTCCCCTTTGGAAGGGAACTTACAGGAAGACATTTGGGGAATAATTTATCTGGAATGTAAAAATGAAGCCGAGAGAAGCAGGGAAAAAAATGATGCCAATTAGAAATCTTTTCTGGCATCTTTAGTTAATTGCGGCAACAATATATAAAAAAAAAAAAAACTTTTAAACCAAATGCCTGAGTCAGATATAAACTTGCCAAATCCAGGCTTATGTTTTCTACACCCAATACAAGGCCCAAGAGCCACTCAATGTAGAGGTTTACTGAATTAGGTTGATGTATGGATAGAGGAGGAGGAATGGAGAAGTAAGTGCAGATTATGAGAATATGTAGGATAGATAACTTTTTTTACTGGATGTTCACCCAATACAAGACCCAAGAGCCACTCAAAGTAGAAGGCTACTGAATGATGTGTGTGATGTGAATACAAGAGGAGGAAATGAAGATTATAATGATATAGAGGTTAGGTATCACCTGACGCTTGACTTGAAAAGGTTAAGATGGTAATGTTTGGGGAAGTATTTATGCCGTTCCAGGAAATAGTGCTTCTATGGGGAAAAAATTGAATGAAACTTCCTTCTTACAAATGGAATATGGAGAAAATGAAGATAGTTAGACTCTGTGGATGAGACCTGGTGGTTCTTAGCTGTAAAGGTCTGAACTGGTGGGACTAGAAAATAGAATTCATCTGAACATTTGACATAGGAATAATGATAGAGTAATTATAGGTTTGTAATGTTGCATCTGTAGGAAAAGGATACAGGGTGGAAATAAAAGACCCAAGAGCCATTCAAGGCAGTTGGTGGAAAACAGGTCATCACCAACAAGGTGGTATAAATGACCTTGAATTCTATCAAGACTGGAAAGTTAGAATTGGTCAGCTCGAGTCCAGATAGGGCATCAATACTCCAATTTTGGTTTAATCTGACTCTTGCAAAGATAAAGTGTGGTAGACTGTGTCAAGTAATTTCTTGACTGGCATAATGATCCAGCCATATTCTAGCACCTTTGGCAATGCATCATATATATAAATTCCATCAAGATCTGGAGTATTTTTAATTTTTTTTTTAATCATTTTACCCCATGCAAGGCAATAAAACCACTAGGATACAAGGGGTACTGAATATGAAAGAATAGGAGAAAAAGAAAACATTATTAATGAGAGAGAACAATAAAAGAACAGAAATTAAGAAGTAATATTGTTGGGGCGCACCCACCTTCTAACTAGTAATGGACTGGTCCCTCTTATATAAGTCAGCTCTGGGGAGAGAGTCAGCGTGAGCAGCCCAGATACTTTCTGAGCGCGTTTCAACTCTCTTCCTACGGGCGAGAGGAACCCGAAGGAGGCTACGCCGAAGGGCGGAGTCTCCTCGGGAGGTTAAACCGCCCTGAACCCGTTTATACGGGTTCGTATTAGAGCCTAATGGCTCTGGAATGCCCACGTTAAAAAGGCCTTGTGCCACGCAGCACCCTCGTGGGGGGTGACTGAATATCTGAGCAGTCCAGATACTTTCTGAGCGACTGCTCGGTTTCAACTCTCTTCCTACGGGCAGGAACCCGAAGGAGGCTACGCCAAAGGGCGGAGTCTCCTTCGGGAGGTTGCTCGGCCCTGAACCCGTTTATACGGCTTCAAATGGGCTATTTTTTGGCCGAGCCTAATGGCACTGGAATGCCCACGTTAAAAAGGCCTTGTGCCACATGACACCCTCGTCGGGGTGACTGAATATCTGAGCAGTCCAGATACTTTCTGAGCGACTGCTCGGTTTCAACTCTTCCTACGGGCGAGAGGAACCCGAAGGAGGCTACGCCAAAGGGCGGAGTCTCCTTCGGGGAGGTTAAACCGGCCCTGAACCCGTTTATACGGCTTCAAATGGGCTATTTTTTGGCCGAGCCTAATGGCACGGGAATGCCCACGTTAAAAAGGCCTTGTGCCACATGACACCCTCGTGGGGGGGGGTGACTGAATATCTGAGCAGTCCAGATACTTTCTGAGCGACTGCTCGGTTTCAACTCTCTTCCTACGGGCGAGAGGAACCCGAAGGAGGCTACGCCGAAGGGCGGAGTCTCCTTCGGGGGGAGTTAAACCGGCCCTGAACCCGTTTATACGGGTTCAAATGGGCTATTTTTGGCCGAGCCTAATGGCACGGGAATGCCCACGTTAAAAAGGCCTTGTGCCACATGACACCCTCGTGGGGGGGTGACTGAATATCTGAGCAGCCCAGATACTTTCTGAGCGACTGCTCGGTTTCAACTCTCTTCCTACGGGCGAGAGGAACCCGAAGGAGGCTACGCCGAAGGGCGGAGTCTCCTTCGGGGAGGTTAAACCGGCCCTGAACCCGTTTATACGGGTTCAAATGGGCTATTTTTTGGCCGAGCCTAATGGCTCGGGAATGCCCACGTTAAAAAGGCCTTGTGCCACATGACACCCTCGTGGGGGGTTGACTGAATATCTGAGCAGCCCAGATACTTTCTGAGCGACTGCTCGGTTTCAACTCTCTTCCTACGGGCGAGAGGAACCCGAAGGAGGCTACGCCGAAGGGCGGAGTCTCCTTCGGGAGGTTAAACCGGCCCTGAACCCGTTTATACGGGTTCAAATGGGCTATTTTGGCCGAGCCTAATGGCTCGGGAATGCCCACGTTAAAAAGGCCTTGTGCCACATGACACCCTCGTGGGGGGGTGACTGAATATCTGAGCAGCCCAGATACTTTCTGAGCGACTGCTCGGTTTCAACTCTCTTCCTACGGGCGAGAGGAACCCGAAGGAGGCTACGCCGAAGGGCGGAGTCTCCTTCGGGAGGTTCGCTCGGCCCTGAACCCGTTTATACGGGTTCAAATGGGCTATTTTTGGCCGAGCCTAATGGCTCGGGAATGCCCACGTTAAAAAGGCCTTGTGCCGCATGACACCCTCGTGGGGGGGTGACTGAATATCTGAGCAGCCCAGATAAGCTTACCCGGTACATACCGTTGGACTATAGACTTTGGATATTGTT